ATTGTATAGATACAGGTATATGCAGTATATATATATAGATTACTTGTTACTGCTATTATATAACTGTTAGATAAAAGCATAAGCGTAATGTTAAACACAAACTATATACTGTACTATCAAAAAATACTTGTTTTTAAAAAAAACGTCAAATTAAATTGAGAGCCAAATATAAAATATATTTTTAGGAGAGAGAGACAGTGTTTTTTGCAGTCAACATTTACAAACACACATACACTCACCTGTATTATACAGGTAATAAACAACATATATAAATATATATTTAAAAATATTATTAGAGAGACAACTATGTGAGTGTTTATGAAATATATTAGTCACACAATTATGTCATTTTCGATGACATACCAGTCACTCACAACTTTTTTTTGGAAATGTGTGAACGGTGTGAATGATCAGCGAAAATAAGTCTATAAGGGATGGCATAAAAAAACTAGAGGGGGAGAGTTAGTCAAGATCTCAGTGGGATCTCTGGCTCGGTTAGAGGCTGGCAATGACCGTACACTTTTGAGGGAGGATATAAGCCTTTTCTTTCCCATACATAGTGTAAATATATATATATATATATATATATATATATATATATATATATAGATTAAAACACATATATAAGTATTGAATTATATTTTTAAACTTTGCAAAACATATATCCTTACATAGAGAGAGAGAGAGAGAGAGAGAGAGAGAGAGAGAGAGAGAGAGAGAGAGAGAGAGAAAGAGAGAAACAGGTTATGCAAGAGATATATCATACATGTGCTCACACAGACAGTCTGTGAATTGGGTATAATCGCTGATATATTTATCAAATTATTGTTTTTTCTTAATTTTTTGTTTTTGTTTTTTTCTGTGTTCATAATTTTCAATCAATGAGTTTCATTTTTGTTTTGATGTTGTTTTTTTTTATAATTTGCATCCCTTATATTTTTATTTATTGGCAATTTAATATTTATACAGTATATAAAAATTGCATTTTATTTTATTTGTTGTTTTATTGCTTTTGGTGTGCAATTAATTAAAACATTTTTCTTTTCAAAGCATTTTTTATTTTTTTCAAATATTTATTTTTTATTAAATAAAAATAATTAATCTTTTAAAACCATATTCGCAATAATTACAATTCACACTTTCAATATATAGTAATTATGAAATTCAATTTAAAATTTTAATTGTTGTATTTAATTACTATAAAAATTCAATTATACGGTTTAATGATTTTCATATGAAGTTATTTTAATAAAAAGAGACATTTATTGATTATTTAAATATAAGTTAAACATAAATTCTAATGTTTATTGAAATATAACGAAAATTGTATTATTTTTAATAAAAAACTATTTATTGATTGACAATTTATTTCAAAGATAGTTGTTTTTTAAATTTAGAAAATAATACGACAATAGAAATAATTGATTAATAAAAATAAGTAAAAAAAATAATGAAAATTTTTCATATCAATAATAATAATAAGTATATATAATTATATTTAGTTAATTGAATAAAATATGAATAATTTAAATTATCAATATTATTTTAGTTTTAATATTATACATACATAAATTTAAAACAAATTCAATAATGTTAAACATTATGAAATTAAATATTGAAAATCCAAGTTTTATATTAATACAGTAATAATAACACTTATATTTAATATAAAATCTATGCAAATATTTGTTTTTGACAATTTTAGTTATAATAAATTCTAAATTAATTAAACAGTAAATAGTGTTAAAAAATAATAAATTACAGTTTTTTTTAATCAAAATCTTAAATTGAAAAATTTACTTATGTTTGTTTAATAGGTTTATATTTGCCGACTGTACTGTAAATACTATAAGTTAGTTATTATACTGTAAATGTAGTTATTAATACTGTATAAGTAAAATGTATGTAATATTATCAATTATTGAGCTCTTAAAAAATATTTATATATACATTTTTAAAATACTTATTGATAAAAGAAAATTTGTTTTTTTTAAATTTATGAATTAAAAACAAATTAACATTCAGACCACGGTTTCAATTAAACAGTATAATAATTACCCCTTTAACGGCTCTAAATGTTTTATCAAATAAAAAAAATTATTATAAATATATTTATTACCATTATTTTCTGTGTTTATGTACTATAAATAAAAATTATTTTAAAATAAAAAGTTTTATTATGATAATATTGTTGTTTTATAGGAAGAAATTAATGATAATAAATGAAATTTTTTTTGTTATAATTTACTAAGAGATGTGTTTAATACTTAAAAATAAGCTTAAAATACTAGTGTTTTAGGCAAAAATAAATATTTATATAAATAGATAAATAAAAAACATATTTCCTATTTTTAATATATTTTAATAACCCAAACAAGAAAAAAATTCAATTCACTTTTACTATCTCTAAACTATTATAACTATTTAAAAAATAATTTACGCCTGAAATGTATAATAAAAAATGTGGGCAATTGAATTAAAATGCTAAATAGTGGTTATAAATAAAAAAAAGTGTTTTTAATATTATGAATTATTAAATACTATAAGTATTTTTGGATAGTTATAACAAATTAACTAATGTTTGTTTCGCAACTAAAAATATCATTTCTGGTATAATCATAATACAGCTATAATTTGTCAAATATTTTATTTATAATTATATTTTATATATTTACATTTTATATATTTACATTTTATATTAATTAATTTTGTTATAGTATTTTTTTTTTAAATAATAAACTGTTTATATAACAAAATGTTACAAAAATAACAAAAATAATATATCACTATTAATGATATTATTGATATATTATTTTTAAAAAATAAATGTCATACTTAATACATTTATTTTATATTCTAAAAATATTTTATGGCATATTGTTTATAATTAAATTGTTATTTAAAAATTCGCATTCATAGCAAATAATAATAATACTACTAATAATAATACTAATAGTAATATATAATAGTAATAAAAAAATACAATATTACTTAATCATATTTTCTTATGATTGTTATCATAGAGGTATAATACAATATGCTATTTAAAATATAATAATAATTTTATTGATGTTTAAAACTGATTACTCAATTATCTTAGACTAAATTGATATATAAGTAACACATTGTGCTAATATTATTGTATTAAATTAATACATTTGTCTATTTTTAGTTTTTAAAAAATAAAATATAATATTAAATCATAATCATTTTTGAAAAAAATTAGAGTCTATCCAAAAATTAATATAAAACATTATATAAATATATATGAGATTTTTTTACTAATGATACATTTTATAATTTTTTATTATGATTATTATTATTATATAATGAAGTCAGTATATGTTTATAGCATTTCTTAAAAAATAATACTATAGTATCATAAAATTATTGTACTAACCATTTTGATAACAAAATTATAATGGAAACAAATAAACTGAAGTTCATGTATCATAAAATAAATTTAAGATAAAGATAAAAATCTAAACTAAAAAAAGAGAGATGATATTTGACAAATAATTATCATAGTTTTTTTCAAAAAAATCTATGTTATCATTTTGAGATATTTAAAGAAAAAATTTGTATCACTTATTTGTTTTTTGTATAATAATTTCGTGTGACACTAAACGACAAAAAAAATACTGATTTAAATTATAAAATCATTTAAATATATTATTTTATTTTCTTCATCTTATAATTTTCTAATCTAATAGATGTTGTGTTAAATGCATATTATTTTATAATATATATATATATATATAAAATATCTACCGGTACATAATTTATATGTATTTAGTTATACATAGTTATATATATACACACATTTATAGTATGTCTTTTCTAATTATAATACTCACGCACTTTTTTTTTAAAAATTTATAATAATTTAAATTTATTTTTATAGTTTTGCTGATTAATGAATAGATTAAGATATTTATGATATAAAGGATATCAAAATAGCATTAAAAATACTATATATATATAGTTTACTTTAAAATATAGTGGGTATTCAAATGCTAATATATATGAAATCATACAGTATTACAACTTATATAAAACTTAAAACTTATATAAATATATAGATAATTATGTTAATTATTGTTTGTTGACATTAAAATGTTATTTGAATGTTAAAACAGAAGATCATTACTAACCTATTAAGAGAACATAAAAACATTAGTAAATGAATAGATTGTAATAAATATTTTTTTTAAATAAATAAATTTGTTTACATTATTATTTCTACACTATTATAGTTTTTTTTATAAAAGTTATTTTGCCGAAATATAAAAAATAAATAAATGTTACAGGATGCAAATAAAAATTTTATTTAAAACAAAAATAAAATAAAAGCTATAATGATTTAGTTGTTTTAACGATATATTATATATTTAAATATTTGTGTTCTTATCTTAAATCACAAACATTACTACAAAAAAAACAAACATTTTATAGTTTAATATTATTGACGTTTTTTTTGTCGCAGTTTTGATAAATACTAATTATGCGTTTAATTATAAAATAAATTAGTTTAAAGGGAGAAAATAAATAGTAAAAAAATTATAAAATTGTAAAAACAAAAATTTAATTTTAATGCATATAAAATGAATGACCGTGGGTATAGATAATATTTATATTATTTTTAATTTATATAAGACATAATTGTAATAATTAATAAAAATTTATGATAGATGTTGTTAATAATTAATTTTTAAAAAAATTAAAACTATATTAATTTAAATGGGGTAGTTAAAAATTAATTAAAATTTAATAATTAATTTTATGTCACACATAAAATTAAAAACAATTTTTTTCGTAATAATTTATTTGATTATCAAATTTGATGGCCAATGCACTATTCATAACAGATTTTAATAAATAAAAAATAAAATATTAAATGATAAAAATTATTTACAATTAAATTATGTTAATTTTAAAAAAATGTAATAAATTTAAATAATTATTTAGTCTAATTAAATAAAAAATAATTATATGTGAGTCTAAATATGATTAATGTTTTCATCCTTTTCGTAGGCATACTTCCAAATATCACTGAGACATACGCTGGAGTGGAACCGATAGAAGAGCATCAATGGGACAGTTGTGTGCGATATAATCATCCATAACATCTGACCGAACTGTTCCTCAGTGTTGTGATATTTGTCCAGTGATTTCAATTCAAATGTATTTAATATCCAAAGTGTTAAATTCAAAATCAGGGCAAAAGTGATGAGTTCGCGTCCCGGCTTCAGTTGGCGCAGTAGTCTCGAGTTAGAGCACCGGCGTATGCCATCCACAATGAACGGCGACTGCACTATAACCTGAATCATAGTCAACACGTAGATCACAATTAATGTCCAACTGGTCAGAGTGTTGTCATTGATGGCGGCTAAGATCAGATGGATGTAGTGAAGCAAGAAAAACGGTATCGGTATGAGCACTAGTAGGTCGTCCATAGCCGTAGACGAGTTGTCCAGATCATGCTCTTTGACTATATCGAGTCGACGTATTTGCCTAAAGGCCAGTGGTATGACTAGACAGCAGGCAAAGGTAAGCACAGCTATCTGTGCCGTATATATTGTTATACCGAAATCCGAATAGGATTGAGTTGTGAAGAATATGACAATTGTGACAAATGTGGCCAACATTGCCGATAATCCACTAAACAATCCCCGATTGCTTGCGTGACAGTCGGCACTGATAGTGATTGGACTCCGGTATTCAATCTCTTGTTCTCCAAACTCATTCTCAATGACCTCTTGTCGTACATAATGAAGGTGTGAATTAGTGTACGATTTGTCTGAAATAATAATAATAATAATCAAAAAAATAAAATAAATCATGAATTGTGTGGTAATTATCAGTCAATAAGTTACTTATAAATTTAATACAGGTATTATTAAATATATTATTATACTGCAATATACTATAAATACATATATAATAAAATATATTTTTATCAATTTGTAACCTAAAAAGCAGTTACAACATATTTTTAGTTACTATTATATTTAAGGTAATAAATAATTACTAATAACATGGGATGTATGTCTTTAAATGCCTTAAATCCCTTTATAATAAAAAAACATAAATTTATCATAAACTTTATAATCTTTGTTTATTATTTACTAATACAGTAGTATACTATTTTAGTACTTTAGTATCTTTTTTTAAACTAATAATTACTAAATTTGAAATAATATCAAGATTTTTTGCACTCAAAAAAACACGTGAATTTGACATTAACGTCATTGACTATATAGTAGGTGGTCTCACGTACCGACATTTGTCCAAATGATATACCAAACAGAGGCAATACAGATATTGTATTCAACGGTAAACGGATAGAAATAGGGTATGGCATCCAATGTTTCCCAATTGATGATTGATTTTGACTTACAATAGGCATTGAATTTGACAGAAGCGGTAAAAAAATCCGACTCTAACTCATGAGTGTCGTTCTTTGAATTCATCTCATGGACAAAGTCATCGATGGCTTCGCTCATTATAGTTGCAAACCAGGAGGCCATGGATGTGCCGACCAAATGCATTAATGCAAACCTTGCTAATGTTGTGAATCGGTTTATGATAATCTGTTTAAGATTTATATAAAAAAAAAATATTGATAAAAACTAATATTATTTATCTTTGCGATTACTATTATTTCGCACAACTTTAGTACAGTATATATAAATATTTGAAACTTGCATTTGAGTATTTGAAGGCAATAAACAATTGATAAAATGAAAATACCAAACGAATTATAAGGAATAGTATGGTTACAGAGCTCTGACATTTGACATTACGGTCCACATAGTAAAAGATATTTGTAAACATCTGAATACCCATATGAACGATACTACCGAAGCAAAACACTATCAAAACACAATAACAAAAAAAACATTTTATAATAATTTATAGTATAAGCAATAATATACAGATATCAGGGTTAGGCATATCTTACCAGTCATTCCACATTTCAGATAGAAGTTACCCGAATGCTTGCCATAGAGAAACCGATAGGCGATCTGATGACAGTCGGCCGTTGAGCTCGGGTTCTGATTCTGGTCTGACTTTGTTTGTATTTTATTGAATATAATAGCCGTCGAGATACTGATATCGTCACGAAAAGTGGCCACTGATTTTTGTTCAGAGTTTACAGACTCGTGTGAATCGGGTCTCAAATAATCGATAGCCCAGCGCTTGTATCGAAGGATATCCCAGTGAAGAAAGGCTATCCATATAAAGCCAACAAAATTGATTAAAATCATAAATAAGTGATTTGTGTCGCTATCCTCTGTGCCCAAGTCGTACACACAGATGATGGCAGCGCTAACTATGATGACCAGTGCATAGACTATTGACATAAACTTAACTAAACGGTTGTTCATATCAACTGTTTCTCTATGATTGGGTTCACTAATGGGAAAGATATCCATATTGGGAGCAATACTACAGCCACCGATTGACAGGTCGTCTCCATCGCCACTCTTACTATTATATGATATCGATCGATGAGAGAATTTACCTTAAGTTTTAAATCAATAATTTAATTAATATAAATATTTAGTTATATTAGACTAACTTTATGCTGATATTACTTAAAGCGCTTGTAGTCGTTGGAGTTGAACTGATTGTTGATATGGTATCCACCGGTTGGCGCCTCGACCGCTGTGGTGGTGGTGTCAGGTATTTGATTGAGTTTGTCTTATTCAATGTATTGTCAACTGATTTGCCAAACATTTGTTTTGCGCCATCGCTGACTGATTCAGTTATAGATAATTCCGGTTCAGATCCGGAATCAATAATAATGGTCGGCGTCTCTATGGATGACGATTCGTAAAAGTGGTTTAAATTTTTGTCACTCGAAAACCCATAGAAAGAGTTTGGTCTCTGGCGTTGACCGAACTCGAAGAATACACTGCTCTTCTTCTGCCAAAATAAAAAAAACAAATTATTGAATAAAATTATTTGATTTTTGTGTTCAAAAAAAAAAGTTTTTCAAATAAATAATTTTCATAAATAGTAATTATCATTGAATATCATACAAACCTCGAGTGAAGTTACGGTCACTAATGATAGCGATGCCGGTCTCGGCTTCATTGCTGTCATTGTATTTGTTAAGTGTTTTATTAAAAACAAATTAATAATAAATTATACAATTATTAATAATTTATTTATATATTCACACTAATTAATATTATCAGTTAAATATTATTATTATTTTTTTTATGATATATCAAACATTTTTTTTCTTAAAGTAAATGCTTATAATCGATATTTTTATTATGAATGAAATTTACAATTTTATTAAAAAGCATTTCACAGTTTGATTAATACAGTAATAATTCTTTACTGTTAAAAAATATGCATCAAAGTTTTTGCACTAAACATTTGTCAACATTTAATCAATATTTACTATTAGTCAAAAATTAATCAATTGTTTAAAAAGTATTATTACAAATAAGGATCCGATAAATTATGCTAAGGATATAAATAAGTCTTTTAAAAAAATAATTGATGTAATAATTTTTTAGCAAATAAAACTATCTATTTATTTGCAATACTTTCTAATATACAATCTAACGTACAGTACACTGAAATTCATAATTATGTATTTTGATATGAGTAAAAAAATTATAGGTTAATAAATTTTTAATAACTGTCAATAATACAGATTGATATATAAAGTACATACCAGTGTTGATATAAGCAAAGTAAATCATGTATTATAATAAATATATTACCTAACATACATAAGTAATGTCGTTTCAAAAGTACAAAAACTAGTATTATTTTTAAACGGCAAATAGAATGACATTTATTTTAGTGTATTAAAATAACATAAAATTATCAATATTAGGTTGACTAAGTAGTTTTGGATTTTAAAAACTAAATATGTCTGAATTTTGTTTTAAGACCTTTGAATATAACTTGTATTCTAAGTAATAATTAGCACTTTTGAAAATTTTAATCAATTTTTAAAAATTTTTCTATACAATAGCTTCATGATAAGCATCATTGCAATTTTCAGCGGGCGATATCAATGATTTTATTGAATAAAAAAGTTTCATTTTCAAATATTGATCTGATATCTCGTAAACAATTGTTTATAATTTATTATTGATAAAGAAAAATAATACTTTAAAACAACATAATTAAAATTTAACTATATATTTTTTAACTTTTAAATGAAAATAATTTTTTTCAATGCTTTGTGCCATCCAAAAATAACGTTACTTTATGTATAATAATAACGACATTACTTATGTATGTTAGGTAATAGATTAAAAAATTATTTTTTTTTAATAAATTTCATTTTTTATTTTAAATTATTTGATTATTATAACTTAGAAACAACGATTATCATAATAAAAATAATGCATTTTTTAGCAATTATATTTTTACTAAATATTTTTAAGTAATTTTTTTAACACAATATATATTAGTTTTAAAATTTGTATTTTGCATGTAGTTGTATTGTATTTTATTGTATTATACAAAGTCAAAATCTTGTATTTTTCCAACCCTGATACATACAGTACAGTATATATGTTGATTAATTTTTTGCCGATTAATAGATTTAATAACTTATGATCAATGCATGTATTGAAGCATTAAAATAATTTTGTAACTATAATAACATTTCATTACACTTTGTGTATCGGTTTAAATAATGTACTGTAAAATCATAGCATATAATACTGACTCAAATACTTTATAATTTATAATTAACTATTGTATTAATTTAGCAACATTTTGTTATTATAAATTGAATTTAATACAATTATAGTATTAAATCTATAGACTAAAAATAAATATATCTATTTTATATATAAATTGTATAATTCTTTTGAAAATATTATATAAAATATTAATTTATTCAAAAAAAAAATTATTAGTTTAATTAATTTTTGAAATTTTTCATTAAATATTTAATAGCATAATAGTTATTATAACAAGTTGTAAATAACATAAAAATTAAAATATAAAATAAATATTTAATTAAATATGTTATAATTATTTAGAATTAGAAAATTTCCATAAAATTCATTGAAGTGGATAAACCTTTTGAGATATGTTATGATATAATATAACTTATAATATAATATACTTTATGTCAAAAAAAAGTATATCAATTAATAAATTAATTATAGAGATATTTTCTGTATATGGTATTAATTTATCTAACAATATTATACAGAATATTAATTATTCATTGTACAGTTTATTATTATCTAGGTAAAAATATAACACTATATATATATATACTGTATATATATAATCCATGTTATAATTAATTATATTAGCCTATTTTATAAATCCCATAATCGTTATATTAAATAAAAAATTAATATTTTTTAATTTTGTAAATTGTAATTATAATAAATATCTTGATGAATTAAAAAAATACACACAATAATCATTATTTTATTTAAATATGAATATATGACATCATATATATATTTATTAATTTTTATTTATTCTACAATTTGTATACTGTTACATTAATTGTTTTTATAATCTTTAAAAATAATTTACCAAGACAGTATTTTTTTGACAATAAAACTTGACAACAAAATTTCAATTTTACATTTAGATAAAAATGTTTGTTAATAAACAAATGCCATCTTATGTGTGACTTTCAAAATACAGATACAATTATTTTATTTTATTTTCTGTAAAGTTTTACTGAAGTAATTAATATTATTATTGATGAAAAAAATCAATAGATTATAATTTGATTACAACAATACTTTCTCTGTAATATTCAATATTATTAATATATTGATAATAATAATAATAATAACAAAAGTGGACAGATTTTGTTCCCTATTATTAAGCCCTCAATATATTTATATACATACAAATATATATATGTATAGAGTTGTAGTAAAAGATATTGTTTTTTTTAATAAATACTTTTAATAATTACTATATATAGAAATCAATTTTTATATAGTATTACGATATATCACTGATAATTTTCAACAACAATAATAATAATAGTAATAATCTATTGTAATAATTATACAAAAACAATACAATCATATAATATAATAATAATTTGTATATAATTTATATAACATTATATAATATCTGTTAAATTACAATAAAATTCTGGTTACACATAAAACATGTAATTCATATATCAAACATACAATATATTCTGTATATTAATTATATAAATATAAATTACATATGTCTAAATAGTGTATATATTTTTAAATATATATATATCTATATTATTAATAATATAAGAAAATTTTTTTAAACAAATAAATTGTTTGCTCTATTTGATCTAATATAGAGAGATGTATCTTAAATGTATTTTTGCAATTGTTTTTTTCTAGAAAAGATAAAAATATATGACAAAAAATTAACAATAAAATATCATTTAAATAAAAAAAATAAATTTATAGGATATTTAATATTTACATAAAATATATTCAGTATATAAATATTATATATACAATAATAATTGGTGAAATACCTGTATCCGGGAATTGTTATATAAATTTTCAATAACAATATTTAAATGACAGTTTTACACACAATTAGTTCAATATTATCCAATAGACAATGTAATCCATACTTTATATACGAAAACAATTTTTTTTATATAATCTCTACAGAAAAATTAATGACAGAGAAAAAATAAAATTATTTTGTTAAAAATGGTTATCGATTAACAAACAAAAAAAATAAAGCATTTGTGCAATTGTGCAGCTATTGTATATTCATTGATATTTAATTTAGCTATAATTTTTTTAACCAGTTCATTTTTTTAGTTTGTTGCATGCAATACATTTGTACTAACATTTTTTACTATTTAATATTTAAACAATAACCCATATAATGTATACTTTTAGTACAATTTAGTTTAGTTAAGTTTTACACTAATTAATTGAATTTTTAAAAATAGAAAATATAATAATTTACAAATAATATTTAATACTTTAATTTACACATACATTTTAGTTATGGCATTTAGTTACTGACATTATTTTTTTTACTATTTAATATAATTACTAATCTGATTATATAGTATTTCAAAAATAAATATTTGGCACTTTTGTCGAATTAATTAGAAAAAAAAACAATATTTAACACATCAATAATTACTGGTATATTTACACAGATATCTGATTTTTTTTTTAAAAAAACCTTAATTACACGATAACTAAAATATTTACCGGTAAAGATAATGTATATTTATATACTGTATATATATACAAATAATTTTATATAATTTTTAAAACTAATTTTAGATTAAATTTTTTTAAGTGTAAAAACTCAATTTAGCCTTTTTTATAATTAACAATAAAAAACTTTATGTGTTATTGTGTTTTATAATTCACAAGATTTTGCTGTAAAAGCCTTAGCGAAAGGTCCGCCGCCAACGAAGCCGCCGAACCCTCCGCTGTGATAGGACGAGCCGGCACTGGGGCCAGTGCTGCCAATACCTGTGCAACCGGTCCGATAGCTGGTCGTACACGTGGCGTCCTTTCGTTGAGCGTATATATTGAGTCCGGGAATAATATGTACGCGCAGTCCGATCGAGTCGGCGGCCAAACCCCGTCTCATTGCCGCTCCTTTGCGGGCAAACGTCACGTGAGATTTGCAGCAACAGTAGTAAAACAGTTTGTTGAACGCCTCCCGAAAGTCACGATTGGTGGCGGCGTATAAATAGGAAAATGTACACGAATTGGACAGTGCTATCCACCACATTGTGTCCAAATAATCCTGTGGCACCCGATTGATCGGATCTATTATCATTGCCACTACCTGTGCGTTCAATTAATTATCTATTAATATATAGTCTTACAAAAAAAACTTTAAAAAAACTTTAATTAAATTATTACTATACAATATATACAGTATATATATATATATGATATTCTATACATGTTATTTAAATTTATTAACTAATCAAAGATAAACTTAACAAATATTAGTACTTTTAAAAAATAATTATCGTTTAATAGTAATGTTAAGATAACCCATCATTTGTTGGCTATCTTTAGCTTAACTATAAATCAAGTGTCAAATATTTGACAAATGGTTCACTTCATGTTATTTCACTAAATGCTATTTCATGTGTATTTTATTCATACACAGTATATACAGTATGTATGTATGTACACAACATAAGTGCAAATTAAGGACTTATTTGTGTCGACCTATTTGTTTAATTTGAAACCCAATCATAAGCCGAATTGATTGAATTTTGTTGCTATAAATAGAGTCAAAACAAAAATAAAATCCTAAATGTCAAAGTTCATCGATGGACTGGTAGTTTTGTAGGCTTTTTAAAAAAATAATAAACATCTAATATAATATATACCGGTATAATAATAGCATTATTTTCAGACATAAATTTTTATATTCAATATTATTTAGTATAATATAATAATAATAATAATAACATTATACAGTAATAGTGTATTTTCCGAAAATATTTATGCAATAATGCAATTTCAATAAATATAAAGATAATCCTAATCTACTGAATTATGATATATCAAACAAAATATTATATAAAATTTAATAGTTTTTTTTATAAATCATAGTTTATAAATAAATATCTTTATTGAGATCAATATTTTTTTAGCAGTTAATATTAGATAATGTTTTAAGTAAAATAAATGATAAATTTAAAAATCACTATACAAAGCTAAAATAATCTGTATATTTTAAATATTTTTTCTAAAAACATACCAAATAGTAATTTAAAACTTTTATGTTGAAAAAATTGACAGTTTAACTATTTTTTTATAAATCAATTATTTATTTGAGTTGAACTATAATAATGTGCAATAAAAGACAATAAGTGTTAGACTATATATCGATAAATGTGTCATTCAATCAAACATGTGGTTAAAAATTCAATCACTTTTGTATTACAAAGTCTTAAATAAAAGTCTCTCTCTCTCTCTCTCTCTCTCTCTCTCTCTCTCTCTCTCTTCTCTCTCTCTCTCTCTCTCTCTCTCTCTCTCTCTTTCTTTCTCTTTGCTCTCTATCATCTCCTACTGTATAAATTTATTTAATTATTTTGTCAAACTTGATCGTCAATTAAATTTTATTGTAAAAAGTAAAAAACATTTTGTTCAGATATTGACAATTATATTTAAAAAATAAATTAATATCAATAATAATAGTAATGATATAAATAAATCTTGTTAGTAATTTTATTGCGATATTTATTAAATGCAAATTATTGTTCTGAAAATTTTCAATATTTAATCTAAAACAAAATATTTTCTAATTATAATATATGCTTATATTATGGTTTAATATTTCACTTAAAAATTAATGCTCATAAAAGTATCACAAAATTACTATATATATTGATATTTGAAATTTGAAACCAATTTTGTTGATATCAAGTAAACAACAAATTATATAAAATATTTTAATAAATACCTTAATATCATTATCGCTTATAATATTTGCTAATAATAACAATTATATATCGATTTTTTCATCAAGAATTTCTTAAATAATTATTTTTTTTCAAAAAATAGTTTTTTCATTTTACATACACACATACACACATACACACATACACACATACACACATACACACATACACACATACACACATACACACATACACACATACACACATACACACATACACACATACACACATACACACATACACACATACACACATACACACATACACACATACATACACACACACATACATACACACATACACACATACACACATACACACATACACACATACACACATACACACATACACACATACACACATACACACATACACACATACACACATACACACATACACACACACACACACACACACACATACACACATACACACATACACACATACACACATACACACATACACACATACACACATACACACATACACACATACACACATACACACATACACACATACACACATACACACATACACACATACACACATACACACATACACACATACACACATACACACATACACACATACACACATACACACATACACACATACACACATACACACATACACACATACACACATACACACATACACACACTAACTTACTCGTTAACAATAAAAATGTCGAAAACACAGTTTCAAATTACTTCAATTTTCTACGAAACTTTAGCTAATAATTTGAGATAATATAGAGAAAGAAAAAAATGACTACAATTTTAAACTTATTAAAAAATGGAGTACAGGTCTATAATAACTATTTTTTCTATAATATTAATAATATAATAATACATACGAATGGCATCCACATCGCCAATGATATCAAATAGACAATACAATTGGATTGCAATAGATATCCATCGGTGAGTATATAGGCAGCAGTGGGATCACCGCTGGACTCGATTTGCATTTTATATTTCTTGTATTCAAATAATGATCGCGTAAAATACCAAATGGTTATCAGTGTAAACAATATGATGGCGCCTATAGTTTTAATTATATAATTAAAATAATAATAATTTTAATATTAACATAATCAATCAATCAATCATCATAATCATTAATTAAAAAGTTTTAGTAAATTAACAAAATTATTATAAAATTGCAAACTATATAATATTTACAGTTAATTATTTTTCAAATAATAATTAAATAAGGTATTACTACTACCACTACCACTGCTACTACTACTACTGCATAAACAAATTTTTAATATTGATCTATGAAGCGTTAAATTAACTTGATAAATTGATAGACTCTACTAATATTCTATAATATTTATTTTAAATAAAAATGTTTTTTAAAAAAAGAAGTTAATTATATGAAAATTTTCTATAATTAAATAAAAATTTAGTCACATATTGTTGTTGTTTTTTAATTGACATTTAATTAAATTTTTAAACTTGATTTCATTTACTAATACACACTGTACTGTATATTATTATATTATAGTAAGAAGTATTCAATTCATTTAAGAGGAATGCTGTGAATGCTATAAAATTTGGTAAAATTTTTCGTTGTTGTTGTTAATGTTGTGTTGTGTTGGTGTGTAAGACAAATATCATAATGTTTTAATGATATTTGATTTTTTTGAAAAGATATAAACTTTGATTAACTTTAAAATATAAAATAAATCGAAATTTTTATTTACAATTTTATGCGACTTTGTTTGCTAGTAATATAAAAATTTAATTATATTTATTTTTTTAAAGTTAGATATCAGTATAATATTAATAACACTGCAAATAAAATAATACTAATAATACTAATGTTATTATTTTATTTTTTTACCAAAAAAAATATACTAATAATTCTCTCTTTGAAGTAAAGCGCTCACAAATATATTATAAAAATAACAAATAAATCTCTGCTACTATATATATACAGTACATATAAGACTAACTATTATATATTCTGTATATATGTTTATAAATTACATATAATATATATATATAAATCTTATGAGAATTTGTATGATAATCACTGCAATATGTAATGTATGTAACAAATTATAATATTAACAAACTCCTTGAATCGGAATATATATCACTGATTATTGTGGTAATCAGTAAATGTTTTTATTTATTTATTTTTAAAATTATGATTTCAAATTCTGTTAGAAAAATATATTTTTTAAAATAAAAACTAAATAAATAAAATAGAATTGTCTTCGGCATTATGTTATATATTTATACAACAAAAAACATGAAAAATATTTTAGATAATAATCTTTAAAAGTAGATTTTAAATAAATTTATTGTTATATTTTACAAGAGTTACAAATATATGAACTAAATATAACTTTTCCAACAATCTATTATAATAGTTACTGATTTTTTAAAAAATGTAATTGGTTTTTATACTTAATTTATAAATTTTTATAACTAAAAGTTTCAGAAAACTTATTATAAAAAATTATTTATAAAACATTTTGTTTAGGATTTAGTCTAACAATTCTAGACTTAGCCGTTAAAACTGATTTAATAAAAAAAACTTATTTTTGTTTTTTTATAAATTGAATCCAATTTAAAATTTACATGTTTTTCTAATTTATTTACTGATAAATTGTAATTTTTATAAATTACTATAAACTTGAGCAAAAATCATCATCAAAATGTTTAATGTAAATCTGTATTATAGAAAAAATGTAAAAAATACTAATATATATCATAATTATTGTAATATAATAATAAACTGTTATAAAAATTTAAAGTTGCATATTTTCACTACAATAGGATGACCTGACCCGATAACCGTAACTACAGTACATATACATTTTTTTCTCAATACTAACTGTACAATAAAGTGTGTTTATTTGGCGCCTAAAAAACAGTGTTTCAATTTGAAACTTTCAAACAGTATAACCAGAGGTCCTGTCAATTTTGCAGTTGTGTGTATGTCTCCTCCCACTTATCACGCAAACAGTGTAGTAACAGTTACTGCTGTACTGTAGCTATTACTACACTGTTTGCGTGATAAGTGGGAGGAGACATACACACAATTTTTAAGCAGACTTTTTCTTTGAGTATAACAGTCCTATAAATTATACAATCAAAGCTGATGTCCTATGAATCATAGTTGTGCACCCATTGATGCCCTAATCATAGCCTGTTTTTTTAGTCATCAACTAAATTGAAATATTATAGGCCTATACAGGATATGGATATAACTATTTAGAGGCCTTTTTAATACATAATATTTTACATATCAATGACATGCTTTCAGTTATATTAAAGTAATAGTTGATAATAATTTGATTATAAATTAATTGATTTATGCAATTATCTAGTCTATCCAATTGGATAGTTAACTATTAACTAATTAATTAACTAAACTAATAATACGATCTAATAATAACTTTTAAAAAAAAACTTATTGAATTGAATTATTAAATTATAAACTTAATTGAAAATATGATTATTTATAAAATAATTTAGTGAAACATATATGATATGTGATTACAATTGAATTCATACCCAAAACATACGGATGAAAGTCTAGAAATACTTTTAGTGACCGTTTTTCCGGTGAATCACAAAAATTGGGACCAAAATTGTAGACGTGTTGGACAACGGGGAATACAATGGCCAGAAACCAGATTATTAATATAATGAAAACTATACGACATTTAGTACAACAGAGATCATAGGTGACCAGTGAACCGAAACCGTAGTAATTGTCGATAGACATGAACATAAAGGACAGGACGGACACTATAAGACAGGCCAGTGTTGTTAACCACTGGAAATGACAGATATTGACGTCGTCGGGAACGCCGGCCATTATGGCGACGGCCGATGCCGGCACCACCAGTATTGTGACCAACAGGTGGCCAAAGGCCAGACAAACGAGATAGCTGTTGCCGCGCACCTGAAATGTGTCGATAACAGTGATGGCCGATATCACAAATATGCCGCCCATTGAGCCCAACGTTGATACGAGTGAATAGAGAACCAGTTTGAGGACACCGTTCCACGAGACCGGGTTCGGCGACACGGCGTACGGCGCACAGCCGTGAGAGTAAGGACACTGAGCCGGTTGGCCCATTGCGTGCGAGTAGTACACGGGCGGTACGTCCACCAATTGGTTACTACCCGCGTCCGACTCACTGTTGGCCATTGCCGCCGCCGCCAGTGGCCACTCGCCCGTTGCGTTCCATGCGCTCCAATCCATTGGCTTTAGGTATGTCCTCTCGACTAAACATTTTTCAAAAGAAAAATAAAATATTATAACAAATAAATAATTAATTATTAATATAATATAATATAAACTACTGTTAATATAATGAGATTCTAGTGTTTAATGTTTGACTGAATTGCATTGCATTGCAGTAAAAGTACTGATTTTAGTACATTATAAACCCTATACAGTAGACTATATATAAAGTGCTTAAATATTTTATTAATTTTGTTGGTAAAGATATCAAACTGAGAGACCCGGATCTCAAAAATAAAATTTATTTGTATATTACATGAGTTTACTGTAGCTTTTAGGATCAATTTAAAAAAAAAATTAATTAATTATCTTATTTTGTCAAACATATTGTTTGTTGTGGTATCTAATGTCAAAAAATACTGTATTAGGGTTTCAAAAAGTAATTACAATTATTAATCGATAATTAAGTTTATTACAGAGTTATAGTAAATACTAGTTTTTTATGGTAATATATATTTAGCATGTTTTTCATAATTAAACATCCAATTAAAATTATTTTTAATTATTTAAAAAGTTTTATATTTATTTCACTAAAAATGTAATTAAATAGTAATATAGAAGAAGAAAATAATTAATATTTATAAAATTAGATACAAAATTGTTAGTGAAAAAAATTAAAAAGTTGGTTTATTATTTTTAATATGATTATAATTTTAAATTTATTTTTTATAAAAATAAATAAAAACAACTTAATCTTTATTATATTATTTTATTGGCAAACAATTGATTATTAAATAAAAATTTATCATTTTGTTTGTGATATAAGTAACAATTTATAACTTATGTTTTTTTGGTCAATAACTCAACAACAAAAACAACATAATAGCTAATATAGTAATAACAATATTACAAAAATTATGTTATAAATCAATAATATTTTAAACTAAAATGTTTATAATAAACTAAACTAAAAAAATCAGAAAATAAAGTTGAAAATCTATTAGTTTTTTCAATGACCCTTATTTTTCAATATATATTGGTTTGAATTTTTTTCATTTTTTTGTGTATAATATATAGATTTTTTTCGATTTATTTGACAAATAATAATAATTGTTATAAAAAATAATGATTTGAAGCTAAATACAACATTAGAAATATTATTAAATACAGATGTGTGCTTAAAAATGTGTGACATTTATTTTTGTTATTATTATTAGTATTTATTATTTAATGATTTTTCAATTAAATAATCAATAGATTGTTGACATAACTATTAATATTAATAATGTCGAGATTTATAACAATTGATTCATTTATATACATTTAAGTTGTAATCAATACATAAAACTAGACATTTATTATTAGATAGTATTATATACTGTATTTTTAGACTGTATGTTATATTTATATATTAATCAATCTATAAGCATAACTACATGTATTATTGATTTGCATTTGCCATACAAGTAGTGATAGTGTCAGCACAACCTAACAGCTCATAACATAGTATACAATAATATAGTGATTGTAATGACATTTTTGTTTTTATTATTTTGTCTGTTAATTATTTATTGATCTGACAAATGAAGGGATAATGTTTTATCCATACATACTATATGAGTGTGACATACAATGGTCTCTGTAGTATAAAGTCAACAACAAAAAAAGGCATACATAGTATTACACACACATCCACACTATCCTAATGTTTGTCCAGTTATGAAATGTCTCAAATGATAAACTAAAACATATTAATAGTGAATCAGACAATTGTCTTGTATATAAAGAGTGTAGACTATTATCGTGTCTGAGAAATGTATTAAACATTTATATAATCTATAAAAAGGTCTTCAACGACAACAATACAGTTGTATTGATTTGGTTTTGAAATCTAATGATTGGGTGATAACTAGTTTTTATATACAGAATATTCTTGAGCACTGACTGTTATAACTGCTATTTACTTAAAAAAATATATATATATTCACTTGTATTATGTGTTTATAATATTTGTCTATAAATCACTTAAATATTAATGTAATGTAATAGATAAGTGAAATCATGAGTAACTTTGAAAACAAATATAAATATAATCGCTACTAAATTAATTGATGTCTTGTTATTTGAAAATTTGATTCAATATTTATTTTATCTTAACGTCCAGAGAGAGAGAGAGAGAGAGAGAGAGAGAGAGAGAGAGAGAGAGAGAGACTATTATGATATTTAGAGATTAAAATCGTTTTTATTTAATAATAAAAGTAATCATTAAAAGTAAGTTTTTTGATGTTTGAAGCCAAATAAAAAACAAAGTATTGATAATGTATTGAAAACATTGGCCACAATAACATTAATGATGTTATATATCTATGAAATACTAATAGCCAAACAAACAAACAAAAATAGAGAGATAAAGAAAAGTTGAAATAAAGGCAACAAATAGTGATTTAGAAATTATTTTTTTTTTCTTAGTCTACGAGTAGACATATGCTGTCACATAAACATAGATATACTTTATATTGTATTTATTGATAGCCATAAAACTTCAATTGATTCAAAAAAGATATTAAGTTTATAATAAATGCATTGTAAACAAAATATTTTTTAAAAAAATATATGTGTGTGATATACTTCATAAAAAATTATCATTATTATCATATGTACATGGTATATTTATGTACAATTTGATGTTATGTATATCATTAAGATTTATTTTGTCATATTTTATGGCACATAGATCTATAAATTAAATTTTATTTTTTAATAGTTTCAGCACAATACTGTATAATAAATAACAAATAATGATAAAATAAAATTTTAATGTTATTAATATGATATTATCGACAGATTTGATAAATTATTATATTTTTTCGAAGCCATTAACAAATTTATTTAATAACTAAACAAAAATTTTCAATAATAGATAATTTGTTATTTATATATATATATTGAACAAAAACAATAACAAAATATAAAGATTTTGATGTTTAACAGTAATAAATTAATTGCAGCAATTTATAAATTATTAATGTAAACATTAACATTTTTTTTGATAGTTACAGTTGTCAAGGGCAAAATTTTAATATTTTTTTTTTGCAAATTGTAATTATTAATTAGCATCAAAAACATAAATCAATTACTGAAGTAGGAAAAAATCTAGATTTACATTATATATATATATATTTATTTATATATAAATTATATAAAATTAAGTTATATATGTATAAAATGACTAAAAGCTAAATACTGTTTGTTGAATAAAATGAATGCGACGTCTAATTAATATTACATACCGTCCACTAAATAGTAATTAGTTTTCTATAATTTAAGCAAAATTTGCGAAATCGATATATAAATATTGATATAATGTTTTTTTAAATTTGTCAATAGTCTTGAGATTCACATCAATAGTGCAAACGTTAGATATTTATATAAATTATTAAAAATATATTATTATATAATTGTGTTCAGAAAATATATAAATACTTGCCTTTTATAATATTATAAATTATTAACATTTTTTAGATTATTTTCTATTGTTATATTATCAATAAACTCTTTGACGCACATATTTACAATACTTTACTACATTAAGTCTATTATTTAATATATATTAAATATACTATTAATAATAAAGTGAAACGTCTTAACAAAATATTAATTATAAGATTTATTATTACACAATAATTTTAGTTTAAGTTTTTTTAATTGACAGCTATTTAATAGTTATTTTTAACTTTTTTTTAAATATAAAAAATATAATTAATGATAATAAATGATTGTTATTTGTGATTACTATTTAAAGTAATACTCACAATGGAACATTTTTACCTGTTTATTTCATTTTAAAACAAAACATAGTTTAAGTTATAGTTAAATCATTATATTAAACAGTTTTTAAAAAATTATCACCTAATGGGGGGTTTTAATGGGTTTACAAAGGGGTTTAAAAATAGGTTAAAATAAGAGTTATGTTATAATATGATTTAAGAGTGCATTTATATGTGCGGCCCAATGGTCTAATGGTAGAGTCTACGTACACATAGCTATAGTTTTAGGGTTCGAATCCAAGCCAGTAAAACAAACTTTTTTTTTGTAATATTTTATTTTTATTTTTATAATTATTTTATATTTAGCAATTATTACTTGTATAATTAATTAATTAATAATGCATTAATAAATGAATAAAATAAATAAATAATATTAATAACATACAAAACATTTTTTTGTAAACAATAAAACATTAATATTTTATGCAGTTTTTAAAACTGTTATAAATTTTATAACTTATAAATAAAAAAAGTTTTGTTTACAATTGAAATGTTATTATTGGATTTGTTTTAATAATTTTTATATAATATTCTTATGTAAACAATATTATTGATTAAAAGTATTCAAAATACAAGAGTTTCACTATTAACAGCAATTATCAACTATTGTCTCATTTGTCAACACATTGTTTGGAAGTCAAAGAAAGATATCAATACATCATATAATGACAAAACAGTGATTATTATAGTAAACACAGTATTAATTAAAATGCATTCATTTAATGTGTTTAATGTATTAGATACTTTGACTAATTTAATTAAAAGTAATTATATTAATAATAAAAGTGATGTCAATGAATATGAAATTAATTTTGCTAATAATTTAATGAAAGTGATAAATAATTTTGTTGATAATATTGATGACAGCATTGAAGAAGGTGAACTGATGGAAAGCGAATCTAATGATATTGATAACGATAATAATATCAAAGAAGAGTCTGATTATGAAATTTCTCCTCAAAAGGTATTTTTTATTGATTTCCTAGCCAATAGAACACACCAGAATAATAATTTTTATAGTCTTTAGAAATGAATATAAGTTTCGAAAGAATGAAAGAAATAGTTAACTATTGTAATAAACATAAAAATCATTCGAATAAAACAGTAATGAAGAGATTTTCATTAAAAAATATTCAAAATATTAGTCGAATTAAGAAATACGTGCAAAACAATGGAAATAGTAAACACAAATGGCAAC